TACTGCGGCGCACACAGAGAGCAGGTTGAAGAGTACATAAAAGCCTCAAGATGGTCTTCCAAGTCTTCGCCCTTCTCGCGACTGGAGCTCATCCAGTCGACGTCACACTCGATCGGTGACGCGATGCGAGACCTGGACAGCCGGGGTCTGCTCGTGGGAGACTTCCTCCTGGTGTACGGTGATGTGGTCAGCAATCTGCCCTTGGAGTCTGCGCTTGCAGCGCACAGAGCGAGGCGGGCCAAGGACAAGAATGCGATTATGACCATGGTGCTGCGCGAGGCAGGCGCGACTCATCGGACAAAGGCACAGGGAACAAGTCCGGTATTTGTAATTGACCCGCAGAAAGAGAGATGCTTGCACTTTGAACAAATGCCCAACCGCGACCAGACGCACTACCTCTCCATCGACCCCGAGCTGCTTTCCACCCACCAGGAGATCGAAGTACGTCAGGACCTGATCGACTGCGGCATCGACATCTGCACACCCGACGTGCTCGCGTTATGGAGCGACAACTTCGATTTCCAAGCGCCTCGCAAGGGCTTCCTACACAGCGTACTCAAGGATTACGAGCTCAACGGCAAGACCTTCCACACACACATCATCTCAGACCACTACGCGGCACGAGTACGAAACCTCCATGCATACGATTCGGTTAGCAAGGACATTGTGTCACGCTGGGCATACCCGTTATGCCCGGACAGCAACCTCGTTCAGGGACAGTCATATCGCTTACAAAAGGGCAATACCTACAAGGAGGAGGGCGTCATACTCGCGCGCGATTGCATCATCGGACGAAAGACAGTCATCGGACGGGGTACCAGCATAGGCGAGAAGAGCGTCATTACCAACAGTATTATCGGAAGGCATTGTCAAATTGGTCGAAATGTTAAAATTGACGGCGCATACATTTGGGACTATGCCAGCATAGCCGACGGCAGCACAGTCACCAAGGCAGTCATTGCGAACGAAGTGGCCATAGGTCGCAGGTGCACCATCGAAGCCGGTGCTCTGATATCGTATGGGGTCAGCATCAGCGAAGGCATGACAATACGAGGAGATCACAGAATCACAAGAGCAAAGCGGAGACGGGAACAAGGGGAGGATATTGTCCGGGGCAACTCAGATCCTGCGATTGTTGGCGAGAAAGGCGACGGCTTCGAGTTTTATGACTCTGACGAAGATGACGAGGACGAGCTTGTCGATGGTCTCGCTACCGGAGGTCCCAGTAAGTCCAAGACCGCCGACTCCCGTGTGTGTATGTGCTAACATGATTAGTGTACAACTTCTCAAACGAGTCGATATCCACAATCAACTCGGATTCCGAGGCTGACATGATGGGTATGGAACGCCATGACAGATCAGCGACCAGTAGTTTCTTGTCTGTGGGCTCGGCAGACAGTCAACATGCGGCAAACTTTGATCACGACGCTTCTGCCAGTATCTACGATTCGCTTGTCGAAGGCCACGAATCTGCAAACATCCAGCTGGAGCTGACGGCACTCCGTATGAGCACAAACGCCTCGGACCACCAAGTCAGACGTGCCGTCGTTTCCTCGTTCGTCAAGCGCGTCACCCAACTTACAAAGTCGGGCGAGGCAATCAAGAGTGCCGTTGCGCAGGTCTTTGGGCAACATAAGGAGCTCATTGACCGGTCCATCTTTGACAAGAACGCTGAAAGCAAGACGGATCAGATCGACTTTATGCTGCTGCTCCAGGCCGACTTGTGCAACAAGGAGAACGGCGATGCCATCTTGCTGAGTGCATCGACCAAACTGGTTGAACTAGACTCGATAGAAGAGGATGGCATGATTCAGTGGTGGGAAGACGAGAAGAGCACGGAGAATGCGGACATGGAGAAGGTCAGGCAGAAGACGAAGAGTTTGATTGACTTTTTGCAGATGGAAAGTGAGGACGAGAGCGAGGAAGAGAGTGATGAGGATTAGTGCGTGCTACAACAAAGTACTATGACAAGATGAGAGCTTCTGTTACATGCGTGTGGAAAAGCAAAATTAGCATGAGTTGAACAAAGTCTATGTCGTTGGCCGGTTTCATCTGGACATAGGCCAGACTATTATAGAGGCGGCGATGTATGGCCGATTCTTGTCCGCAGCAGACGGTCGTGCTTATGGACCTGGACAGCTGCCTCAAGGCAACTGCAGTGTTTTGCGCCAAGGGATTGAACACTGCGCTTAATATTGTATACCCAAGTTCGTTAGGTGGTCTGCTAGGTGGGTGAGGCGGCAGACGGAAATGTGGAGAGCGCGGTCAAGTTCCGGGCGCGCCCCTGGGCTGTTGCCTCCCAAAGGCGCTAGGGCCACCCGATGAGTGCCCGCATAGGACCATCAATCGACTGCTGGACGCCAGACTCCCCAACTCTTGTGACTCCTTCCCTTCTGTTCAGCTGACCAATACCCTTGTTTTCTCCCACACCTGTACCGCCACTCTGCACGCGCGCCTCAGGCCTTATCGTCCGTTTGTACACACGCTTTCTTCCGCCGCAGCCTGTCCAGCTAGCGTTCCGTCATCAGGCGGGACATCTCCATCATCACGCCTCCAACTACCCTTCGCAAGCGGAAGGCCGACGAGGCAGACAACTACCTCAGCCCCGCAGAGGAACCACCCCATAAGAAGACAAACTCCCCTGTTGTTAGCCTGCCGGCCACGCCCGCAACCCACGCCGACAAAATGGACTCCGATGACGACTTCAACAGCTCCATGAGCGGCGACGACTTTGACGACCAGGACAGCGACCTGGGCCTGGAAGAGGGTGCGCATTCCCTTGACCTCCAACTATAGTCGCATGCTAACGTGCAACAGACTCGGACTTTGACATGGAGCAAGATGACGTCGGCTTCGAGACGCAAGACAAGGACATCAAGCCCACCAAGCAGGCCTTCGAAGTAGACTTCAAAGTCTTTGACCCTGCCCAGATACAAGCACAGCAAGACAAGCAGATCGACGAGGTTGCGGCCATCCTTGGCCAACCACCAGAGGCCGCTGCCATCCTCCTCCGCCACCTGCGATGGAACAAGGAACGTTTGATCGACCAATACATGGAGAAGACGGATGAGGTCCTCGAGACAGCAGGCCTGGGCCAGGACTCCACCACCAACCCGCCCAAGGTCGAGCAGATACCAGGTTTTGTCTGCGACATCTGCTGCGACGATGACAAGGACCTGCGGACATTTGCCATGAAGTGCGGGCACAGGTTCTGCTTGAACTGCTACAGGCAATACCTCGGCACCAAGATTCAAGACGAGGGAGAGGCTGCCCGGATACGCTGCCCCGGAGAGGGCTGCACCCGGATAGTCGACTCGAAATCGCTAGACCTTCTCGTTACAGCAGATCTCCAAGACAGGTACGTCGATGCCGCTCTACCTTCCCAAAGCCTGCTAACAATCACAGATACCACACCCTCCTCACACGAACCTACGTCGATGATAAAGAAAACCTCAAGTGGTGCCCCGCGCCCGATTGCAAATACGCCGTGGAATGTCCGGTAAAGAGCAAGGATCTCACTAAGATCGTGCCCACGGTGCACTGCGAGTGCGGACACGACTTCTGCTTTGGATGCACGCTGAACAACCATCAACCCGCACCTTGCGCTCTAGTGAAGAAATGGGTCAAGAAGTGCGAGGACGACTCGGAGACAGCCAACTGGATATCGGCCAACACAAAGGAATGCCCAAACTGTAACTCCACTATTGAGAAGAATGGAGGGTGCAACCACATGACATGCAGGAAGTGTCGCAACGAGTTCTGCTGGATGTGTATGGGCAAGTGGTCAGAGCACGGCACGAGCTGGTACAATTGCAATCGTTTTGAGGAGAAGAGCGGATCGGAAGCCCGCGATGCGCAGGCCAAGTCCCGGCAGTCGCTCGAACGATACCTTCATTACTACAACCGCTTTGCCAACCACGAACAATCGGCTAAGCTAGACAAAGACCTCTACCTCAAGACGGAAAAGAAGATGCAGCAACTGCAGAACTCGTCGGGCATGTCGTGGATTGAGGTGCAGTTCCTGGACCAAGCTTCACATGCGCTTCAGCAGTGCCGACAGGTACTCAAGTGGACCTACGCTTTTGCTTACTACCTTGCACGAAACAATCTCACGGAAATTTTCGAGGACAACCAAAAGGACCTGGAAATGGCCGTCGAGAACCTCAGCGAGATGTTCGAGAAGCCAATCGATCAGCTGAAGGACCTCAAGGTTGATATCCTTGACAAGACGTCATACTGCACCAAGAGAAGGATCATTGTCCTCAATGACACAGCGGAGAACCTGAAGCTCGGTTAGTCATATTTTAGCCCTCACTGGAATGCTGCTAACGTTGATAGGCACCTGGAAGTTTAATGTAGACTTGGTGTAGGACACCTACATTAGTCAATTCGTCTCTCTTGATGACCCTCAAATGGCCACCCACGATGGCAGTGCGCGACCGCCCCCTCGCAGACGTTGTCGCCGGACCCTAATGCCTGGTGGAGGAGTGGCTCATCTGCAAGCAGCCAACAGAAGGAGGCCACATCAATGACAACGTTTGGGTTTGGCCTGCGCAATGAAAGACAAGAAAGTTTGGCAAAGAATATGACGTTTTCACGCTGTTTTATGTTGCATGGACGGTAACGCACTGGCGCTTTTTTTTTTGGTGATAAGGGTATGGCATTTTTTGGCAATGGCGTTTTTTTCTCTTTCATGTGTATCAATCTGTTGGCAATCAGCGGTTCAGCGGCTAGGTTTTTAGCGGAATCTGGGGTGTGTGGGTGTGTGTATGTGGTTTTTTTTTCTTCTCACTCATCCCACTCTGACACATATTCGACGCAGACATTGAGAAAGATATGAAATTAGACTTTCGATATTGATTGTTGACCTTGCGGAAAGATGTGTTGTGATGGCATGTTTGAAGGGCAAGTAGGTGGAGGGAGGGATTCGAGACGAAGTGAGGTTGCTGCTGACTTGTGCTCTCTTCGTTGTGGGCTAACAGTACTTTTGATACTTTCAGTCACCTATATCCTGGACGAGCACGTCTCATCGTCTCCCCCCAGTACGCTCTACCCCGGTAGTTCCTCCAACCTTCGTCTCCATCCCACCAACCCACTCCACACGGTGGCGGTTGGCGAATAGAATTAACACGTGGTCTCCTCTGCAATCCTGATGCTCTTCTTCTTATCGGACTGACGGTTCCGTAGTCGTTTGTGTGGTACCCTGGTCTTGGTTCTTCGTGGCGATTGCGGGGAGGCGAGATGTTGCGCGAGTAGGCGTAGTAGTTTTCTTGTGCCCACTCTTCGGGGGTGAAGCGGTTGTACATTTTGTAGTTATCTGTACCTCTGTCTGGATAGTGATTTGGTCGATGATATTGTTGTTGTTGTTGTTAGTAGTCATTTGGTGTCCTTGTGCGAGCGAGCTTGCGGCAAGGTTTTTGTGGTGGGTGAGTAGGATGTCTTTGTGATACAATGCGGTATTGGTGGAGGATGGCTCCGGAGTTTTATAGTTGTGCTGATTGATGAATGTGTCTGAGGCGGTGACTTGAACGAGAGATCATGCGTTGGGGTATGTGTTGTCGATTTGTGAAAGGGTAATGTGCTGGCTCGTAACGACGGAATGCCTTCTATCCCGTGATTAAAGACACTTCAAGCAGATGCGCAGGCGCATGTAGTCACTTGTCACTATGATATTAAGATTGATTCAATGAGGCAAGACCTTTCATTAAACTATCTACTATCTCTATAATAGTGATATATGCTTTGCCATCACTAGAGAGTGACGAACTATGTACTAAAGAGCGACAATTGTTGAGATTATCACGTGGCGACAGGCACTACAAGTCTTGTCTGGAGTTGACCGAGGTTGAAGATCTTGGCAGAGTAAGATGCCACCATTTAGACGGTAGGAGAGGCAGTCGGGCATGTAGTGACGGTGATGATGTTGTAAACGGTGGTAGGTACGCTTGTGGTGGTGGTCACGGTGGCAGAGGCAACTGTGAAAGCAGTCTGAGTGGCAGTACCAGAGATGGGTGTGGAGGTGCTATTATTGGTAAGTAATTGCATGATGAGAAGCAAAGGATAGTACTCACGTAGTGACGGTGGTCCTGACAGTTCCGGTCGCAGTCGCAACGACGCGATCCTGAGTAAATGTGAAGTCAGGACCGTAGAAACCAGCACGCTTCGCGAGCTTCTGCTTGGGGGCGGCAACTGCGACGCGCTTGCGGTGAAGCTTCAGGGTAACACATCCAGAGAGCTTGCGACCCCCGATAATGTTTGAGTTGTTCCGAATGGCGCCAATGCTGCCCTTCATGTAGCAAGCACCTGGGTTACCTGTGACCCAAGAAACATTAACACACCCAGTGGTGCTGTCGCAGGCCTGGAGACATTGCTCGTATGTGTCAGTGTAGACGAGGCCGTTCGGAACTGTACACTATATTAGCTGATGTGCATAGAGGAAGCAGATTTGAAATACTTACGATCGTTGCCGTAACGATCGGCGGCGCACTCGACGGCGTATTGTGCGCCACATGAAGTCACGAAAGTTGAACCATTGGAACCCGGGCAAGTGACAGCACCTGTTGAGCTCGGAGCAGGGGCGCTTGATGAGGCACTGAAGACACTGGTAGGCGTGCATGCGCATTGGTACGCTGTGTTCGAGATAGTCGTGGTAACAGTAACGGTCGAGGGTCCAGGAGCAGGGGCAGCCGAAGTGACTGGTGCCGAGCTTGTGGCCGCCACTGATGAGGATGAGGTAGTGCGAGAGGAGGTAGTAACAGACGATGGAGCAACCACAGAGGACGAAACAGCCACAGAGGACGAAACAGCCACAGAGGACGAAGTGGGTGCTGCTGAAGAAGTGGGTGCTGCTGAAGAAGTGGGTGCTGCCGAAGTTGAGATAGTGCTAACCAATCGTCCACCGATGATGTTGGAGTTGCTCCTCGCACCGCTGACCGCGTTCTTCAGATAGCAAGGGCCACCCATGACGTAGCTGACAGCGACACAGCCCGAAGTGGAAGAACAGTCCGCCAAACAACCCTCGTAGGAGCCTGGGTAGGTTGGGCTCATTGGACCTGGAATATCTCCGCCCGTGTAGTCAGAACCGCACTCGACAAGGTACTGCTTACCATTGGCAGTGATAGTTGAGCCGTTGGAGCCAGGGCATGAAGCGCTAGCGGCAGGGCTGGCAGCAGAGCTGGATGAGGAGGCAGTAGAGCTGGAAGAAGAGGCAACAGAGCTGGAAGAAGAGGCAACAGAGCTGGAAGAAGAGGCAACAGAGCTGGAAGAAGAGGCAACAGAGCTGGAAGAAGAGGCAACAGAGCTGGAAGAAGAGGCAACAGAGCTGGAAGAGGAGCCAGCGGTAACTACTGTGGTACTGACGACTGTGGTAGTAGCGACAGCAGATGTGGAGGAAGTAGTAGCGACAGCGGAGGAGGAGGAGCTTGCGGACGATGTGGATGCCACTGGGGATGAAGACACAGGTACAGATGCAATCCTAGCACCCCAGACGTTGCTGTTGGAGTTGGGTGCACCAAGACCATTCTTCAAATAACATGGACCGTTGGGCAGATAAGAGACATACTGGCAGCCTGAAGTGCTCGCACAAGCCTGAATACATTGCTCGAAGGTTGCAGGGTTATTTGGTGCAACGCCAATGTCATTGTTGAAGCGGTCGACGAAGCATTCAACGATGAAGTTTCCTTGAGGCGTGCTGAAGGTTGCGCCATTGCTTGCAGGGCAAGATAGAGTAGACGCAGAGGGTGCCGGGCTGGCTGAAGTAGGAGTGGAGGAGCTAGACGCAGGGCTTGAAGTGGTTGAGCTGGAAGGAATAGGAGAGGAAGATGAAGTCGAAGTAGAGCTTGCTGTTGGGGTAGCTGAAGTCACGACGACGGTGGTAGTGGCGATTGAGGATGAGCTCGAAGATGAGATTGGAGAAGGCGAAACGGATGAGCTCGAAGATGTGCGGACAGACGAGCTCGACGGAACAGATGACGACGAAGGTGTCGAAGCAGAGCTTGATGTCGGAGTAGCAGTAGTAACTACTACGACAGTGGTAGTCGCAACTGATGAAGAAGAAGATGATGATGATGGAACAGGAGGAGATGCGGGTGAGCTCGAGGAAGTGAATACCGATGAGCTCGAAGGGGCAGGTGGCGAAGATAGCGAGGAGGTCGAAGACGAGCTCGGTGCTGGAGTAGCAGTAGTCACTACGGTGAGGGTTGTAGTAGCAACTGATGATGAAGAAGGCGAAGGCGAAGCAGACGAGCTTGATGATGGGATAGGAGACGGACTTGGAGACGAGCTCGGTGTTGGGGAGACGGTGGACACAACGACAACGGTTGTGGTAGCCACAGAAGATGACGAAGATGACACCGGAGCAGGGCTCGAAGATGAGCTTGGAGATGGCGTAGTTGTTGAGACGATGACCACAGTAGTAGTAGAAACCCGAGTGGAAGAAGACGGCACAACCGGCACAGCAGAGCTAGACGAGGAGGACGGCACGATCAGAGAAGAAGATGGGCTCGAAGAGCTCGATGGTGTGGATGTGCTTGAAGGCGTTGGGCACGAGGTAACAGTCTGCGTGAAAGGGCTGGTGACTGGGGTCGTAACAGTGGCCGTGCTCGTACGTGTAGTAGTGGAGGAAGCAGAAGTGACCGTAGTAGTCGCTGCGGGCTGAATGGGAGCAAACGCAGTGTTGGTAGCAGTCTGGGTCACCACAATAGTGTTTGTAGCGACTGTGCTTGGTGCCGGCTGGTCACCGAACGTGGCTGTGAAAGGGCGAGGAGTGACTGCGAATGGGTTGAGGAATTGGTAGTTGTCGAGCGTGTAAGCACCAATGTTGACCCAGTTGAAGAGATCGGCGTTTGCACAGAAGATACCCGTATAAGTTGCGGGTACTCCTTGTGTGACGTAAGAGCAGGTGCGGGTGTATAGGAGAGCCGGGTTGGAGATGATGGGCGTGAAGGTAGGCCTGGTTCCTGAGTAACATGTAGAAGTACCCGACATGTAAGTCATCTGGATACCGAAATCATCGCCAGATCCAAATGAATGCTTGGCTTGATCGTAGCTGAAGGTTGGGGTGGCCGTCCCAATGAGGGCCGGCAAGCCTGCGGCAACGAGCGAGCAGCCTGACATGTTGGTCGACTACTGGTGATTGAGTGAATTTAGAAGAATAGCGAGTGTATCGAACAATTGAGCTGCTCAATTCAAAGAGTAGGGAGACGCTCTTTTATAGATTCCGTCCTTGCTGATTCTGCGGTTACTCGAGATGATGAATTCATGATCCTGAGAGGGTTTAGAGGTTCCCTGAGCCATAAATCTACATCACCGTGGCATCAAGATGTCTTGTAAAAAAAGGGTTCTTCTCCTGATTGGCATGGAGTATGTCAGGGAGGAGCCGGTAGGTGAGGCTCTGGGGCGTACCCATTGCTACCATTGGGGGCACGTGGGGAGGGGAGCCCCAGCATCTCCCTGATTAAGATAAACAGATGCAGATGCATTACCGTGAGTCTGAGTCTCGTATGCCAGTTAGACTTCGAAATACTCAGTTGCATGTGTGGTGTCGATTTGGAACGTGAACGCAGAAGGATGACGTTTGGCAGCACAGACCGCCGCTAAACTCCTACCGGTAGTGCAGGGGTTACCAGCCTCCAACTTTCTAAGCCCTGATACATCGTTTCCGGGTTTCAGTCCTGTCATCAGTTTTTCGATTGAGCTACTAAAGCTGCCACTCTTTGTTCTCATCCGGTTGGAGATATGCCCTCCATCACTGAGAAGTCCAATTCACCAAACGCACCCAGCCTCGAAAGGTCTGCTATTGAAGAATGCATCACGAACGATCCCTGCGTCTCTGCAACCTCTCACGTAGGCTGGTAGACTAATAGAGAACTAGAAGGCTACCCAGACATAACCTGCATACCTTGCCAATGCAGGTCCAGTATTGTCAGGACCAGCTGCTCGGAACCGCACCCGACAGAAACTCCAATGCACAAGGCTTTCGATAGTAACGGCCGCCGGCTGCGATATGAGATATGGAAGTTCTCTCTTGTCTCTGCGCGGTACCATGAACATTTGCAACCTGTGTATTAAAGAACTGATTGCGAAATATATACATAGCTCAGCAATTGCTGATCCGAGATTGCTCTTGCGGAGACCCAGAAAGCGAGCTATGCGAATTGCGGGTCGTGAGACGATCTATAACAGACCCTTGTGTCAGCAAGTCACTTACAACGTACGATGGTGGCGGGAGTCGGAGATGATGTGATGATTGGGTGAAGGGTCACTTTCGACATTACCTTTCTCATCGTTTGGTAATACAGCACACTCCACACCTGCCTTACAGACCACGCATCCCTCAGATTTCTCATGATTGGTGGCCACTGCCATGTCTCGCAAACCTCAATCGCGACGGAAACCGCCGCTATCGAGCTGTAAAAACCATCTCATCTGTCCCAGACCCATGTTACACCGGACCAGCCAATAAGCGTATTGAGAATGAGTTGATGCAAGCAGGCTCCCAATGACAGCCGTGCCTCCACGGTCGAACCCCATACCAGTAGCACTAGCATCCTCAAGGATCATGGATGCGCTATTGACGCCTTCCAAACATGCGTCCTCACGAAGGCCTACTTAGGAAGACAATGGTACGGATCTTCAGGAATGCCTTTGACCTGCCAGTTCCAACCGGTACCGCGATACTACGGAACCATGAGCGAATACACGTGGAGTACTTTCCGCCGCGCCGGTCTCATAACATCCAAGCTCTCCCCGCTCACAGTACCACGGCAGCGTGCATTTCCGACGTAGGTTGGGGCGTCTGGCCCCTCATGTAGGGAAAGAATGGCGAATTCGAGGAACCAGAGAGGAACTGCGATGAAGAACGAGCTGTTGTAATAATCGGCTGAGGGGTTGCCGAATCTACAACCTGGTGATCTAAGACACAGGTCGAGAATCAATGGGAAAATGCAGATGGCGACCCGACGCCGGTTTCGGAAGAAGAATGCGATAACAATGAGGAGGAAGATTAGTGGTTGGTAGAATGCAGGAGTGGGCTGACGGTCAGAGAGCTGTAGCCATCGATACCACCCCAATGTGATGCTTTCCAATATGGAGGCTGAAGCGCTTTCGGAAGTTGTCATCATTGCATTTTGTAGGTTGCAGTTTAGAAGTCAAGTGAAGCTCGCTGGACCGCCACGCCAGAATAGTCAAGCCATCAGCAAACGTTGAGCGGCATGAAATAGTCCGCAATGACGTAGAAGTCAACTCGTCAGTCGTAGCGGTCGTGGTTGCAGTCGTCTATTCTTTACGTAAGATTACTTGAGATAATTCTCTTCGATCTCCCATCCCTTTCTCCTGACGCCCTCGTTCTCACATGCCTTCCATGTCCCCACTAGCGCCTTTAATCGGTCCCGAATGTCCTTATCTACGGTAGTGTTTGCTTCCCACAACTCGTTGCCCACCCGCGTTACCAGCATTGCTGCAATCTCGACCCTCAGCAGCTCCGGTGCTGTCAACCAGCTCAGTCTTGTGTTACTGATGTCGCCTACATAAGTTGCGGTCAAGACGCTGTTATTGCTTATTTCTGCTCTTTGGCTACCCGTAGAAGCATTAGTAGCGATGTAGGTAGACAGCTGATCAAGGTGCTTGTGGTAGATTGACAGGCTACTCAGCTCATCAGCGATGGCGACCAGCTGGCTCGCAAAGACCTTGCATCTCTCCTCGCGGGATGCCTTCTTCTCATCGAGAGACGGCCATGGGTAATCAAGCAGGCGAAGACGCCAAGAAAAGGTGTCGGGTAGTACCGATGGGTTCCGGGCAGGATCGCGTCCCCACTCTCTCGTGCGCAAAGTGTCTACGTAGGACACCATCGCCTCCAAGATTGGCTTTCGGTATGGCTTCCACCACGTCTCTCCGAGATAATCGTCAAGCATGAGTCTATCACACAGCTTTGTGAGTTTGGTGTAAGTTGGCGTATCGTTCCGAAGTAATGCAGTGAACAGTTTGAGAAATTGCTCTTGAATGAATTTTGGCGTAATGGCAGAGTCTTTGGAATCTTCCATAACACAATCCAAAAGCTCAACAATATCCGTACCTTCGCTTTGAACATCGAGCGATTTTCCATACAGTCGCATCCATGCTTCGACTTCGGGCAGCGAGCGCAGTGCAGGGTCTGCAGCGAGCCGTTCGTTCATTGCTTGCAAGGGCGCTGGAAGTGCGGCCCTGAAAGACATGTACGTGACATATTCTTCCAGTAGAGTACGCGGAACATGACACAGCCTTTCCGTCCCCATGGAAAGTAAGGTCATATTCACCGACGGGTCTCTTGGAATGGATGGGATGTTTAAGTCTCCAAGCAATATGTCTTCGAACCCGTGTTTGCGAAGGAACAATGCCACCCACCTCGCTGTCTGATCTCTGAGGTTTTGCAGTATTGGCATCATGATGCGGTCAACGAAAGGCTGAATCTCGGTCGTTGGGATCTTCCCACTACGGAGATAAGTGACCAAAGCGACCAGGATTGGCGAATCTGAACTCGAAGTTCCCATGATGCCTGCTTGGAGCTCGGGAAGCGATAGAGTCTCCTCGCATTTCACCCAGCGCGCTTCATTTAGTGCCTTTCTTTCATCCAAGGCTCCAGCTAGCGGTATGAATGACTCCAGGATAGTGAACACTTCGCGAGATTGCTCTTGAGAGCCAGATTCGAGCAAGACTAGAAGACTTTTGATAACGTTGAGCCGGACGTCGACATGTGCATCCACATTGGAGAGCTTTCTCAATACCAAAAGAGCATAATCCGTCCCAACAAGGTCCAGGTCCTGGAGAAGTTGAGCTAGCATCTTGCGCGTAGTAACTTTAACATGGGCCTTGTCACTCGATGCAACCTTTTGGTCGTCTGAACTCTTCTTGCTCTTATCCTTTGTTCGAAGCATATGAATGAGTTCGTCGGTGAAAGCTTCGATGAGAGATTCCGCCTGCGTTGCTGGAAGCCGTCGGAGAAAACTAGGTTTGAGAAGTTTCCGATGCCACGAGCTCGACTCTGGTCTGTCTAAAATTGTTCGAATGACTGATTGCGTGGCCAAACTGGGTCTATCACTTTCACCCAGTAGCGCAACGAGCTCCATCGCAACCTCATGAGGATTCTCGTTGGTTTCTTTTTCCGGATCTGCATCGAACCTTTTGAGGGCCTTATCGAGGTTTTGCGAGGATTGTGCCAACAATAAAGGAGGTATTGTGTCGAGATGACCCTCTAAATTCCTGACAGCTGAGTATTGATCGGGCTCGTCCGCATTGAGGAAGTCGTCGTCCAAGAACAGGGAAGGATATCGTACATCTGTCGCTGAGGGGAACGGGGTAGCAAGTAGACGATTATCACTGGCATATTTCGTATCGAGATACAACAAAGCCGATAAGACGCCACCTTCACCCATACCGCGGGTTTCACTCCAGATGGCTCGAGGGTTATCTTTGTAGGCAGGGACTTCAGCCGATGAAACGACTGGGAGGTTTACCGGTGGCTTTATGGTTGAGTTTCTAGATATACCTACAGAAAAATCCACGTAGGTAAGCTCACCAAGTTCTCGCTTGGGGAAATCTGGTCTCGCCGAAAAAGGATTCCATTCGCACGGCTCACCGGAACCATCATCGTCGGGTATCAATGGCCAAGGCTTCTCGACAGTGCTCATTGCGCCCCGAGGCGGCCACTCATCCATGAGCCGTGGTTTCTTGTCGCTCCAGAAGCGTATTGCTTCATCTTCTGCCATTCTCTTGGAACTCAAAGGACCGGTCGCATACTCCCATGCTTTCTTGACGCGGATTTGTGTCTCGACTCTGTCACGATTCTTGGGTATGTAAAGCTGCAGAGCATGTTGATAGCTGTCCACGAACATTCCGATGGCCTGTTGAGAATCTTTGTCCGTTGGTACTGGTTGAAGAGCAGCCTCCGAGTCGGGAAACACGGTGCGTCGAGTGCGTGATGCAATATAAGGAGCAACGCTACTAAGATCCTCCACATTCAAAGTCCATGGTGCGGTAAGGTATTGGAGCGGAAGTCCTCGAGGGAAAGGATGAGGAAGTGTGACTGCAGCGGGGTACGTCAATGGGCGCAGTCTACACCAGAGCTCATCTCTCGCACGAGCGAGGGAATCGAGGAATGCATATGTTGATACATCACAGCTCTCTAGCTCATACATGGAGGGCTTATTATAGGCAATGATGCCGCGGAAGAGATTCGCTTGAAGTCTTTCGTAACCGTCTTTCTGCGCCTTTTCCTCAATCGCAATGACCATCGAGATCGTATCAGCCCAGAGGTATGTCAGTACATCCTCGTCAGAAGCGTCGAGCTGCTTCTTGACCATCGGTGTGAGATCGATTCGCAGTTTGATGACCTCATAGAATAATTCAAAGACGCCACTCCAATTGTACGCTTGAAACGATGGCTGCCTGAGGGCTTCGCAGGCTGTATCAAACATGTTTTGCAGAATAGAGTTTGCTGCGCATACCCGCTGTTGCAGCTCCGTCAGGCTCAAACTTTTGTTGATCGATTCAGGAATGCCTGAAAGCAAACGTACTCCTTCAGGAGTATATGCTTGTAGGTTGATTTCACGAATCACAGTCGGATCGCCCAAGAAACGTTTCGTCCACTCCATCGCATGTTGCAGCATCTCAAGTGATCCACTGGCTATGGTAGCGAAAATCGCTGACTTGGCGAAGAAAGCGCGCTGGTCCGGTTGAGACGCAGTGGCAGCCTTTTTCTTGCGCATATCGATGTATTCCTTGGCCATATTCTTGGCTTCTTCTTCCTTGTTGTTCAAGTTCAGTAGCCAAATATGGACAACATTCGGATCACCGCTAGAACCGTCAAAGGTAGACGGTAAGCTGAAGATGGAGTTACCATAACCCAAGTAGATCAGATCTGTGTCTCCCCTGACTCTTCGCAAACGAGTAAACAGTAGAAGAGAATCTTCCGGAGACATGTTGGAAAAGAAACTGTGAGGAATCGGACCTTTGGTCTTTGCAAGGTCTTCGTCGCTGTCCAGATCAAGCGACGTAGACGCTTGGTAGCAGAGCCTTAAGAGTGGGTAGCTTTGTTTTGCTTGGATTCCGGTGAGGATATTATCCCAGTCTCCGATTGCAGTCTTGCTGGCTGTGCCAAATACTGGATGAGAGCAGATCCTTCGTAGTTGATGTTCGAACAAACTTGGTTGTTGTGACCAACAAAATGCAACTTGCTGGAGGAAGTCGACCTGGAGGCCAGATCGCTGGCCTCCCTTGATTGGATGTACATCCAAATAATGCATTGTAAGGTCGATGATTCGTTGTGTAATGCTCCAGTCTGTACGGTTCTTGACCGCGCGTTTTAAGAGAGGATTGACGAGTTGGTCGATGAAAATTATATCCTCCACTACGCGACGCGGTGAATTGCTCAGAGTTTCAAGAACTATTAAAGAGAATTCCATAGATTCTGAGAACCCTGTTGTAGTCGACTTTGCCGGTGGATAGTGATGCAATAGATCTTGAAAGGTTTTGATGTCAACGGGAGATGACTCCTCTGCGCCGAGTGACTGGAGGATCTCTTTCTGCATATACTCCGGATAGTATTTGATGATATATTTGCCCCGCGTGTTTATCCATGTTCCTTTGAAGCCGCTGATGATAGCCTCGGTCACCAGGTCTGCCGAGCATGCGGGGACGAGGGACGCATAGAATTTTCCGAGTGCGCGCTTGTCTTTGGTCTTATGTGGCGAATCTGGGAATCGATCAGGGTGCATTGCCTTGTATAACTGTGTAAAAAGCTCTCTTTTCTCCTCCAGATCTGCGCCTTTACCACAACTGCCAATTGCTTTACAGGCTGACCTGACCTCGAGCACCGAGAGGTCTGCAAAGATGTTAAGCAAACCCGCAGTACCTCCAATCCCCTTCCACGTCTCTCTCCATCTCAAGGAACAAAGCGCTTTGCGAAGATGTTTGATTGCAAACTCGCGAATCAGTACCGAGAAATTTTGCGTGAGTGCTTCACGGATAACGGAAGGCGATTTTGTTACGCCAAGCCATGGCGCGAAGGTTGTTGGAGGTATTGAGCCTATCTCGACAAGTTGGAGAAGCTGTGTTGTGACTTCTCCGATGGGTGCATCTCTCAGTATTTGATTGTAGTAGTCCCGAAGCTCAGCGGGTGTGGCAGATCGAATGCGACGTGTGTCAAGATTGGCGGCCATCCTGTGCGGTGCAGCGAACATGTACCTGTAAAGGCCGTAACACGTGTGTGAGGATTGTGAGAGTGTGTACCGTGTTCACGATATAGTTCGAAATGCAACGAGGGGTCGCAAGTAGACGTCTGAAGGCACCAGAGGGTGTTTCAGTATTAAGGGAAAACGCGTTCGGAAGGTGTTTGCGTTGTGGAACTTGACGAGACCCAGCCAAGATAACATGGACAGCCCGTCTCCTGGGTGTTGTGAAGCAGCAGTATCATTATTGATATAGTCTTGAAGGATTCAGGCACGATTCACGTGAAGGGCGCCGTAGGCAGATGTTGCCGAATACAGAAAGGTGGACGATCAGGCGGGCCGCACTGCGGGGCAATTATGTGGTTGGAAGGGCTGTGACAAGCTTAATACGCCGCCTATGACATCATTTTACGCCTTTACATTGGTGACAGCTGTTTTACAGTGCTACACCTAGCAGTTCAACCTTCCCTGGCTTCTATCTACGCATGCCGTCTTATCGAGAAGCGCGACATGCAGCCCTTCCTGGCAACTAAACGTTTCGACCCGCTTTTGAGTTACAGGACGACACAATGGATACCACGCTACACAAGCAGCATATTTGTGACTCTCATGCACGGAGTCGCGAAGATTCATAATAGTGCGCGAGATGTAGTTACGATACTAGTCAAAGTAGATATTCGGTCAACAGCAACAGTCACTTCCAGCATATTTACAAATCATCATCAAAGACTCATGTCATTAGATACAAATACGCTTCAAATATTGCGCTCGCTCTCACATTAATACATACACTATCTTCCCTGGAGTCCTCTGCGCAGCACAAGTTATATTTATCCACTACTCATTTCTGTCAATTCCATCATACAAAAGGAGCGAGAACTATACCGCAAAACTATTCGTCATCGACTACGATGGGTTTCGGAATCATCGAGTGGTTTCTGCTTTTCTTCGTCCTCATGTCGATACAGTTTACGTACTCGGGGCCTCTAGGTTCTGGAACGGCAACTGTGGGATCTATGCCTGTGAGTTCGGCGCTTAGTAGCATTTCGTCGATGAGTGCGACCGAAACGTCTTTTGCAGGTTCTGAATCTCCAGCCATGGTTTCAGGAAGCCTGTCACCATCTAGGATTAGCACTGTTGGTGTAAGTGCAGCTACGTCGGGTGTGTCACCGACATCCCCCACGGAGTCAATCGTGGCTGAGGTTGGGCGAGAATATGGCAAAATTGTCATCAACAACGGCTACAGTGAAGACTTGGTAGTAATGTCCATTGGTGCCTGGCCGCTTGGCGGAAACAGGACCAAAATTGACGACACAAGCCCAATCGTTGCTCCGCATAACGGCAGGTGGAACGCATGGCGAGAAGACATTCAACACGCAATCGCATCTGGGGCAAGCCATAAAGAGCCCTTTCGTGTCACCTGTCCCAATGTCGAGGGCGCAGAAGAATACTGTGCAGACTATGACAAACTGCGTAGCCAGGGTGTGTCACTCAAGATTTTCACTGCTGCAAATCCGAGTGAGGCTCTACAGTTTGAATACGCGCTTGTGCAGAATCCGCTGGACGAGCTACCTTACCACAAGCTCAACTACGATGTCTCGCTTCTTGACTGCGCTGATCCGCTTGACCATGCCTCGCTCTATGGCATCGATTTCAGCGCCGAGAATCACCGTGAGATTACGGATCAGTCCATGTCGGCCGAAGACAAGAAGCACAAAGCCGATTTATGTCCTGGATACAAAGGTGGGCTCAAAGTGTCGTTCCAAGCAGAGGATGGCTGCGACGGTGACGTTTGTGAGCCGATCGACTGTAATGGAGAGGATTGGTGTAAGATGTATTTCTTTCAGCGAACGAGGGACGGAGAGCCGAGTTTGAGCTGTGGCGGAGAGTTCAGGGGAGATGTGGTATTGGATCTTTGTGTGGCTAATGCCGGTGCCAATGTCAATACTGAGGCTGGCAGCAAATAGATGATTTATTCATGTTTGTGGCATGAGGTTGGATCCCGCATTGATAGCTGAAGTCAATCGCAGCGCTGGATTTCTAGGTTGTACTTTGCGTCAATACTTATTAGTAGGCCAAATTTATCAGTCATTGGGCATGATTGGAACCTGTTTGATAGTTCACAGTGCCAGGTTTCGGACTGCTGGAGTGTGAGCAGGGCTCGATCGGCCTCATCTGACGGTGGCGAAGATCCTCGATCCGATCGGCGATTGCGTTTCGTGGTTGTTACAGATGTCGAGCTCCACGGAGCAGTGGTTCCCTTGAAGATCGACGTGACTGACGACGGCTGTGGCGTGTTGATACTGCGATTGCCTGTAGATCTGTATTTGTTGGTGACAATCGCTGTAAGGTACCCGACCTGGAACCGTTTGACGTTGATTGGTAGGGAACATATTTCCGAAGCTCGGAAAGGAGTTGCGGTATTTCGCGGGCATGACAGGATCGTGGGATAGCGGCCACGGTTGGGGCAGGTAAGCTACCTGATATCAAGATCCATATATCAAGATCCATATGCCGAGCGTTGAGCGGGCAGGGTGGTGGGTACGTGTGGTGTTCGCACGTGAGGCAGGTACCCGCAGTTCAGGTGACAATTAGAGTTTGTTACAGTTGTGGGCGACATCTTGTCTCGCATGGCAGCTCTCGGCATTCTTTGTTACCGTGGCTCGCCTGACAGGTGCTAGAATTGTAGAAGCGCCAGTGCTAGAATTGTAGAAGCGCCAGTGCTAGAATTATAGAAGCGCCAAAGCCGCTGAGGCTTTCTAGTGTGGACTGCAAGATCCAGGCGGGTGGTCCGCCCTTGGGCATAATGACACCACTTGTGGTTCCATGCTGGCTACTTGTAGGCTGGCGTGCATTCGGACCGAGCACTGACAGAACGGCCAAATTTTGCGGGATAGCGTATTCAAGACATCAATCGACTGAGGGACAGCAATATCGCTAATGAGGCTCTCTAGTACACGATTTGAGAGCGTTGGTGCGGCAAGCGTCTTCGCGGCTGGCATATTTGCGCTAGTCCGGATGGAGGGGACATGGGAAACTGCTACTGGCGCGTTGCAGGGGAGCCCAGCCAATTGGGACAACGTGGCATCCCGTTAGTTATCAGCCACTGTAAAAGTAGCACTTCTGGAACGAGTCGAGAAGCGGTCGGGGCAGGGGCAGGTGGCGCGACTCTGCAACAACTGGAATTATCGAGATCGCGATGAGTATTTTCCGCGGGAAGCTGCTATAAGTGCGGTGTGGTGGTCGCGGTGGTTGGGCGTCGAAAGTCAGAGTCGGCTTAGGCACCCGGAGGCGCGGCTACTACAGTCCCTGATGACGTCGAGTGCCAAGACTCGATCATAGCGAAAGGCGGTTCTCTGCCAACAATCAATTTCGTCCAAGCGGGAGAGGCTGTAATGAGAAAGGAGCAAGACGGTTTCCCGCGCCAGTACTCATCAATTTACGCGATCCACGATTCCTCCAAACTGCTTTTGTCCAACGCGTCCCAGAGTGTGAGCGCCGCCTCGTCGTTTCTGTAAGTGTGTGCGGGCGTGTGTTGAATTCAGCACATGGGCGCGAGGCTATCCTGCTCCTGATCCTGGCATATGTGCCCACCACCTGATTCTTACTCACCAAGCACTCCCAGCTTGTCGCCTGTGCCCGGGGGGATTCGGCCTTGACGGGCATCTACGAAGACAGCCTCAGTACCACCGGTGGTCCTGTAGTCGTGTGTTGTTGTTGTTAGTTGTTGAGTTGTCCATGGTGCTGAGGCCTCTACACCGTCCATTCTTGCCAGGAGCACCCGCCGCGACGTCATAGCTCACCATCCCATCTATGCTCCCTATATCCTCGACCCCATCACGACACCACTTGCGCAAGACGTGGGAGACTGGGGAATGCAATAATGACAAAGGCCCCGTCACCCTCTCCTAGTTCCAAGAGAGAGCCGACCGCGACGCCACCGACCGCACGCCCGCCACTGCAAAGACTGGCCGCCAGCGACGCGAAGCCCTACCAGTCGCACACGTCGCAGTCGTCGCCCCAGACCCGTCCCACGAGCGAACGCAGCGACGATGGAGCCACCGACACGGAAATGAGCGAGCCAGAGAGCCAGCCCGCTGACGACAAAGAGGATGCGCCGCTGAGCGAGGCCTCGCCCGACGAGATGGAAGTCGAGAGACTGCGTGGTCTGCAGCTCAAGATGCTGCAGCAGCAACAGCAGCGCGCCCGTCTGCGCTCCTCGTCCAACAATGCCCAAGCCCAAGCCCTGGGGTCCCGTCGCATATCGCCCATCAAGGAAGAGCCCATGCCCGGCATCTCGCCCACCCTCGAGGGAGCCTTTAGCAGTCCTACACCAAGCCCAAACCCGCTACCCACGGCCCTTACCACATCGACTGAGTCCACGGAATCGGCAAGAACCATCCGCGGCAGCATGCCACCTACGCCCGCCGCCGCCCATGCCGTCCGCACTCCGTCGTATCCTTTCCCCTCCGTCCCAAACACGCCAAGATGGGCTTCAGCATTCCACATGCCCTTCACCAGCCTGTCACCTACTGTAGCTGCGGGCCAGTCGCGAGAGTACGCAGCCCCGCAAGAGCGCATCGCTTCCGAGAGCAGCACCCCCGCCGCATCGAGTACGCCTTTTGCCCCAGGAGGGAGACATTACCAAAGCCCGGATGCAGAGGACCCGCGATTCCCTAGTCCCAATCTCTACGACATTGTATTGCGCCTAGGTGCCGAGCCCGGTCTTCCTGCTTGGTGGACGGCTGTGACTTCCATCATGCGTGATCACTACGGAGCAGAAAGGGCGACCTTGGCAGTGCCGGCGGACGCGTCTGATATTGAGAATGTGCCGTGGGGGCAGAAGACTAGCTTTACTGCCACGACCAACAACGGAAGTCCCCTCGCAGCTACGTACCAGGAAGCAACAGGCACTCACTTTCCATCTGAAGAAGAGTCAGGCTCGCGTGAAAATGAACATGCAGATATGCCACCAGCCACCATGATCCCGGAGCGCAGGCCGAAGCTATTCTCCCATCACTCCTTCGCAGGCCACGAACGCCAGAGATCCAACACATCGCCAGATACCCCAACACCAGCGCCGCTTACCCGACCAAGAGGTCCGATGAGAGCGGCGAGCCATGCACCCCACATGTCGGCGAGGCCAGAACATCCACTAAGGCAGGTTTCCCAGGCTTCGTTTGACGGCGCCTCTCCTGCATTTGCTGGTTCAACTCCAACAGGCGGTCCCACTTTCAGCGACCCAGAGTTTTCCAGTGTGGGAGAACCGTCGCCACCCAGTGCCGTGTACCATGTACTTCGAGCTCTTGATCATGAACCAGATGCCCTCATCGACAACACAGGTGTCAACCGTGTTTTGGAGAGGGGACGTCTGGTTACTCTTACTAGGGATTACTCGACTTCGCATGCAACATCCAAAGAAGACCTTGGCAAGGACAAGCAGGATCAACCCAAACCCTCTGCAATACAGGGCAGTGCTGCTGCACAAGAAGCCCAGAAAACTGCTGCTGCTCGTGGCCGAGCTAATCTAGCAACCAACGATCCCCGCCTGCCGCAACGTTACGAGGAGTACGAGCAATACCCGAGCTCACCGTGGGCACAATCACCCGCCCCTTCACCGGCTATTCAGAATGACGCTGACGCCAATCCCTTCTTCGCCACGGGCAACGTTGACGAGGAAACTTTCAATCCCTCCCGTTCGCCGCAAGACTACACACAATATGGTATGGTTGAGGCCATCGGCGTTGACAGAGCCAGCACAGTCACGCACATACCGCTGATACATCCTATCCTGTCGCAAGAAATGGCATCACCGGCCACTACTACGCCGTCGCAAATGCCACCTATGACAAGACGGCAGTCAGAACAGTCCATGTCGACATCGCTGAACAGAGAAGGTTTTGTTCGGAAAGCTCCTATTGCGATTCTTTCGATACTGTCGCCCATTGTCCCATACCCGCGTAACCTGACCAACTCGCTCAAGCATCTTGGTCCTCATCTAGCCACGTCGTTCTCCAATGCTTGGCACTTCACCAATGCTCAGGCTCAAGTTGCGTCCATTCGACAACGCCGCATGACAGCCGGCACTTCAGGGGGTATCAGCCTGCCATCAGATTCGGATAGTCTCGATGATTTGCTTCACCTTGACCTTGAGGATATCACCAACTCAGCAGCAGGTAGTGTTACTAGCCCTTCCGACTACTCTGGCCGATCCAAGCACAGCCCTGGTGGCTCCATCGCTGGAACTCCAGGCTGGGATACTTCTTCGATCGGATTTTCGAGTAAACATTCGATGGGCGGCACGCCCGGCCATCTTGCAGGCAGTGAAGCGGTCGAGAGCTACTTTGATGCTAGGAAACAATACGGCAAGACATTGAACCCGCCGACGTCAAATCCGCACGACCAGTCAGCACGGAAAACAGATAAGCGTACTGCAAAACGCGTGACGGTGAATCCTGTAGCAGAGCAAGTCAACGAGGATCCAGCCAAGCGGCGCAACGACAAGGCAGAAGAGTCATTGAGCGCACGTCGCGCTCAACTGCAAGACGCCTCAAACCGTGGACACTCATTCCTGCACTCATACGGTGCAGACTTTAGCTCGTCGTTCCAGTCCTTGCCAGCAGCGACAACGCCAGGTGGAAGACCTCCAGCTCAGCATGGACATGTCAGGGGGCCGTCAATCGCCGAAACGTCTGACATGCCACCTCCTTCCGAGAGTCTACTCAGAACCATCACCGACTCACTACCGGTTCAGATATTTACTGCCGCGCCTAATACTGGGGCGGTCACTTGGGTGAATTCAAAGTTTCTGATATACAGAGGCCAGGATCAACGCCAAGTATTGCAGGACCCATGGAATCCAATCCACCCAGAGGATCGCGAGTCGTACCTAGAAGAGTGGAGCAGATCTCTGCGCACTGGACAACAATTGCAGAAGAAGGTGAGACTGCAGAGATTCGATAACTGCTACCGATGGTTCTACGTCCGTGTTGCCCCACTCAAGAACAAGCGTCAACAGATTGTTCACTGGATCGGGACCAATATGGACTTCCACGAACAGCATACTGCTGAGCTGAACTCGGCGCGCCAGCAGGAGACGGCAGCTTCTGAGGCCAAATATCGCGCGCTAGCGAACTCCAGCCCGCAGATCGTTTTTGTTGTTTCCGATCGGCGGGGCTTGACGTTCTGCAACTCCCAATGGACTGCTTTTTCGGGCCAGACTGAAATCCAGGCCCTGGGCAACGGCTTCCTAGAGCACGTGCATCCTGATGATGTCATCAAGTGTAAGCTTCCTGAATTGGATGAAGACGGAGTTGCCAATGTTCCTACTTCGATGCCAGCAGACCATGGGCGAACCGAATCCCATTCGTCTGATACTTCATCGGAAACTGAGAGGACAATCACTAGCCCTGGTGGATCGACGCCTGATCGCATGGATATGCCCCAAGCCAAGTTGTCGAAATTAGCAAGCACCGGCATATTGAGAGTTGCCAAGGATGCGCACGGGCGAGCGTCTTACTCTACCGAAGTTAGACTACGCAACAAGGACGGCGAATACAGGTGGCATCTTGTCAGGATCCTATTAGAGAAGTCACTCTCCGAAGACGGTGATGAAGAGACTTGGTATGGCACAGCCACAGACATCAACGACCACAAGCTGCTCGAGCAAACATTAAAGGAGACTATGGACGCAAAGTCCAAGTTCTTGAGTAACATGTCTCACGAGATTCGAACGCCCTTGAATGGTATCTCCGGCATGGTCAACTTCTTGCTAGATAGCACGCTCAACTCCGAACAGCTAGAGCACGTCAACATCATCAAAGCCAGTACTGATAGTCTGCTTAATCTTATCAACGACATCCTTGATCTGTCAAAGGTCGAAGCAGGCATGATCAAGTTGTCCATGGAATGGCTCCATCTGCCGTCGCTTCTCGAGGAAGTCAACGATTTGAACATGGGCCTGGCCATACAGAAAGGCCTTGAACTCAACTACCTCGTGGATGAAGGAGTACCAGCAGAAGTCAAGGGTGATAAGTTCCGCATCAGACAAGTCCTTCTCAATGTGGTTGGCAATGCGATCAAATTTACTGAGCATGGAGAGATCTTTATCAGATGCAAGCTGCAGCCACCCGATCGTTCTCGTCCTCTACGAGATAACGAGACTATGATCCGGTTCGAAGTTGTAGACACCGGCCAAGGTTTCACTGATGCTGAGGCTAAGTATCTCTTCAAGCGATTCAGTCAGATTGATGCCAGCAGCACCAGGCAACATGGTGGAACTGGTCTTGGATTGGCTATCTCCATGCAATTCGTGGAACTCCATGGAGGTAGAATGGATGCTCGAAGTGCGCCTGGCAAGGGCTCGACATTCTTCTTCACCATCAAGTTTGGGCTCCCAACTGCAGATGACTACCCCAAGCCTCAGGTATCTACCCCTGGCACACCAGCCTTTGAGACTCCACTCTCGATGCCACCGGTGCCTTCGCTTCCGCCTCAGCCCTCTGCTCTCCAGAAGTTTGTTCAGTCGCAGAATCCAGGACTTGCACAGATCAAGCGCGTGTCAAGCGTGTCTTCTGAGAAGAGCGACTCTCCCAGATCTCCAGCGCTCAGCGTGTCAGCTTCTGAGCGATCGCGTGACTCGCCCTCTCTCTCGTCTGGGAGCTCGGACCATTCATTGACCAGCGCCGCACTTACAGGACAGTCGAGCTTGCGTTCGGAAAGATCGTCTGCATCTTCTTATTTGAAGGAAACCAGTCCTGCTCCGGATCCGGACATGAAACTAGCTCTGCCGCCCAAGCGAACCGACAGCGACCCGCGAGCTGTCAAGCCCGACTCTTCGACGTCTGTTGAGTCGGATCAGACTGTCCGCGCGTCGTCACCACATCGCAGTCTTTCACCACTTGGTAGCGCCTTGCAACCTCCCATGTATTCCATCTTGGTGGTCTGCCCACTAGAGCATAGCAGAGAGGCGACGATTCGACACATCAAGAACACACTTCCTCAAGGAATACCCCACCAGGTGACAGGTCAGGCTAGTGTGATTGAGGCACAGAAGATGATGGGCGGCGACAACCCAGTGCTGTTTACTCATGTTGTACTTGTGTTACACGATACTGCCGAGGTACACGCCATCGTGGATCAGATCTTCAGCTCCATGGCGTACGGTAACACATCTGTCGTCGTAGTCTCAGATCCATCCCAGAAGAAAGAGCTCATCAAGGAAGCACCAGTATATGATTACGAGCAGCTTCATCTGGATCGACGTTTGCAGTTCATCTACCGGCCGCTCAAGCCATCAAAGTTTGCCATTATATTTGACCCGCAGAAGGAGCGTGAGTCGAGCACGGACCGCAACCAAGACAGCGCGCAGCAGGTTGTGGTCAGCCAAAAACTCGTCTTTGAAGAACTTAAGCGTCGGGTAGGCGGTAAAAATCATAAGGTCTTGCTGGTGGAAGACAATAAGATCAACCAAACGGTAAGCTTTTGCTTTATAGTTATCGTGTATTGGTCTATACTAACTGCTCATAGGTGATCTTGAAGTTTCTTGCCAGGATAGAGATTGAAACAGAGACAGTACAGGACGGTGTTCAAGCCACCGAAACTATCTTTTCCAAGCCGCCAGGCTATTACTCAATTGTTCTTGTAAGTACTAGTACCATTCTCTTCTGTTCCATGCTAACATTTATCAGTGTGATTTGCACATGCCCAACAAAGATGGGTACCAGGCTTGCAAAGAGATTAGGCGATGGGAGAAGAAACATGGCTACCGTCGTCACCCAATCATCGCACTCTCAGCCAATGTCCTGGGTGATGTATACGCAAAGTGCGTAGAAGCGGGCTTCAATTCGTATGTCACGAAGCCTGTAGAGTTCAAGGAGCTCTCTCTTGCCATGACCAAATTCCTGGATCCGACCGACCCCTCGAAACAGCCTGCCCTCATGAAGAAGAAGTGAGGGGGGTTGTGTTTTACTTTCACTTACACGAACATACATTGTATCGAGCCACGGTACTCGATTTTAGTCCTACCTGCATCAGCGAACGGCGCAGTTGGGGAAAACGGCATGTGCTACTAGGCACATGGGACATGACATGGGTCGACGTTCTACTACCAACGCACTAGAGGTGCGCTTTCCTCGTCTGGATGTTGTTCGCATCTTATATCCCAAGTTTGAATCTGCATTTGGATTGGTTAATGGACGTAATGGTTTCTTGCGGATGCATGAGCATTTGACGGCGTATTGTTACTTGGGAGCGCAGCTGGTGGAGAATCATACCCCTTGGGATAGTCGGTTGGGCGGTATTATGACGGCAATTTCTGCCATGGGATAGAAAGAGGGGGATACCAACAGGCACTTTATATATACCAAGGTATGGGTAGACATGATGATGCGAGTGCAGCCCTACGGATGAGCGCGAACTTGTACGATAGAGACGATGTCATGGAGATGAGAATATATTTTAAGATCAACAATGTTAGCTCAACCCTCGTGGCCTGCTTTGGTGTTTACTGTGTGTGCGAATGATATGTATAGGGCCGAAGCGTTCCACGCGACCAACATGCATACGCTAAACATGCATGTCCGTGTCAAGAAACGTCTTCTCCACCCCCCAAAACCCACGATGCAAACATCACCACTTGCTCCACTGTTTGTCATCTCTGCGCTCATTGGCTGACCTGGAGTGCATCTGACATGCCCATGGCGCTGATTGGTGGATATGTACAGGGGTTGGTGTTGTCGTCATTGTCGGCCTGAGCTTCCTCATTACCCAAAGTCCGAAGCACCCCTCTGACACCAGTCGCGCGCTGACGCTGTGTCTATCTTGTATCGCTCCCTCAAGTCGCACTCTTTGTTTCACGGTGCTTGGTTCTGTATATCCTCAGCATGGCTTCTGCGACCGGAATCCCGCCAAATGTCGCTGCGGCGCGCGGCCAGAGCGAAGAAGAGCCTCTTCTAGGCAGAAGAGGAGATGCTAGCCAACCGCATGGACAGCCACTCTATCACAACCTGTGGATCGGTACGTGCCGAGAATCTGCGCGAAGACTGTGTACGAAGAAGGAGATTGCTAACAGACTGACAGGCACTGCTCCCATCGCGCAAGCAGGCATATGGATCGTAAGCGCACCTCGGCGACACGTCGAATGCTACAACAGATACTAACCTACCAACAGCTAGCAGCCATAATCTGGGGAGCCATCTTCTCCAACAAACTCATCTTCTTCTCCGCACATCCAGTAAGCCCCCTTCCGTCTACACGTCTCAAAACACCAAGCTAACCGCGCAGCTCCTCAACTCCGTAAGCCACAACACTACCCTAGTCACCCCCTCCCGACAACCGTATCATTGATACCCCCAATAGGCCGGCTTCCTCCTCGCGATCCAAGCCGCTCTCGTCCTCCAGCCCACGCACACGCCCGAGCAGAAGCGCTCCGGCACCATTGCCCACTTCCTCTTCCACGCCGTGGGCGCATCGGCGCTGACAGCCGGACTCATCATCATCGAGATGAACAAAGCGGGCCCCGGCCACGCACACTTTGAGTCTGCGCACGCCCGTCTCGGTCTTACGTTTTACGTACTCGTCTACATTCAGGCTATGGTCGGCTTCACGCAGTACTATGTCCCGCAGCTATATGGTAGCGTGGATAATGCAAAGAGTGTGTACAAGTACCATAGGATGGCGGGTTACATCATTGCCGTCTTGGGACTTGCGACGATTTGCGCGGCTACGTGGACGACGTATAATTTGAATGTGGGGGGTATTCAGCATTGGGCTGTTATTGTTGCTAGTGTGTTGGTGCTGGTGGGTGTTGTGCCGAGGATTAGGCTGAGTAAGTTTGGGATTAAGACGGAGGAGGGCGAGGTGAGATTGCAGTAGGTGAAGGACGTGTTATGGATGAGTTATGGTTAGGGTGGATCGTGTTATGATCTCTATACATACGGAAAGGTCAGTTCGCAGATACGACATGGGTATGGTTGGGGTCTTTGGACATGGCGTTGCATTAGAAGGCGTGTTGGTCTATATGCAGTCTCTCGAATCCTTCGCATTCTTATCTCCAGATGCGCGCAGTCATTACAGCATTGTTCCCTTTCCCGCAGACCTTCCATGCTCACTTGATAGGCTCTTGTACTCCCCTGGCGCCAACGAGCCTAAAGCGAAGCCTTCTCACTTCTCCTTCTACCAACCATTCTCTTTGACCTTCTCCTCAAGAATGCCCAAAGCAAGACCGTTGAACTCGGCCAAAAGGACCTTGACTTCAGGCTTTTTGATCAAGCTCATGTGTGCGCTGATCGCAGCACTGACAATGTCGCGCAGACCTTTGTCATGATCGGGGGTGGTTGAGAATACATGGTGAGCTGCGACAGAGAACTCGTCGGTATTCCAGAAGTGATGGCATGCCCTGCGGAATTTCTCAATGACTAGATCTTTGAGTCCGACAACGTCGTATTTGTCGGCAATCTCGTACATCTTGGCGTGGAGGAGGAGTTGATCGGCGTTGCCGTTGAGTGAAGGTAGCGGATGAGATGGAGGGTTGCATTCTTCACAGTTGAAGCTTTGGCATGCGTAGCCGCAGTTTGCTTTCCTCTTTTGGCTACCGCGATGACCGGGTGATGCATAATGCCTAATCGGTGTAAAGTTCCCGTTTCCATTGCATGTATGATGCGGACAGACTCTAGGAAATTCACAATCGCCGTCGAGCCCATGGCACGTATGGGGAAAGCTGTAGTTGTAGGGTAGCCCGTCCAAATCATGCTTTGGCCGAGAGGTTTGAGTTCGGGCTTTAGTTGAGGATGGTGCTAGCGAGGCTTCGCCATCCGGTAGTAACGGTTCATATTCACCTTCATAGAGGTACTGGATCAAAAGCTTGACGATGGTTGGTTCGTCCTCAGGAAGGTCGACGACACCACTCTCTGATTCCTGGATGAGCTATTAGTTCTTTCCCTAGAAGGTCCAGCCTAACGATTACATGGCCGTCGTGGAATATGCTCTAGCGATCGTTGAGTCCATGAATGTTTCAAACAATTACCTTTCCGCCGAAATTTAGCGTGCGGGCGAAGAAGTCGGCACGCCCACAAATGATGACCTTGTGGACCTTGTACGTGTCGCTACCGCAGGCGATCGTGAGATCAGAGTAGGCGCCGGATTTGAGGAAGCTGAAAGTGAGTCAGTATCACCGCGACACAGCAACGAACAAGAAAGATGTGATGTTGAGATTGAACATGCCCCTTCAGTGAAGCCAAAACCTGTTTCTGAGCAACTCCTGCCATGTCTTTGATTATCAGTAGCTGTATTACTGAGTAAGGAGAGAACACTGGGGTATAGTGAGTGGTCTCTGATCTGTGTCTCTGCTGTCGGCGCAGCCTTTCTCCCAGTATAGTCACATGCAAGGTGAAGGTGGAAGAGGGGTGCATGCAGTATGTGCTGGAACACGATCCAATGGAACCTGCTTGTCGCGCGCTTACAAGAGACAAACAAGATAAAGGTCCTCCAATAGATATTGAGCAAAATGTACACTGATGTGCAACGGAGACTCGGCGCAATTGTGATTTTGATTGTATGTTAAAGTTCGTATATTTATCAAGTCGAAGTTATGGGAACTTAATTTCGATCCTCACATGGTTTGTATAAAGGCGAGATAGGGCTCTTGATACGCAATTGCTGATTTGAATTAACGTTTAAACCTGCAGGGGAATATAACCGAACTAATGATAATTAAACTACAACCTCGCCTCAACTGGCGCCCCTTGCGACTGAGGCTCCTGCGTCTGCCCTTGTCCCTTCTGCCGTATCGCCTCCTCAAAGATTTGCATAAACCTCCAAACATCGTTGAAAGTGTTGTACATTGGCACAGGCGCAACCCGAATGATACCAGGTTTCCTCTTGTCGCAGATAACACCACCCTCTACCAGCGCTGCGCTCGCATCGTCAAAAACGTCTTCTGGGAGCAGAACACTTAGTTGTGCGCCACGGAATCGAGGATCTGTGGGTGTGATGATTTGGAAGGGGAAAGCGCCGTCCTTGATGTTACGTGCGGCGATCTGAGAGAGCAGGTGCTCAGCATATGCTGTCAAGAGCAGGGATCGTGACCGTAGGTCGGCCATGGAAGTCTTTTCGAAGACGCTGAGCGAGCCAGCTAGGCATGTGAGGTCGACGATCGATGGGTTTGAACATTGGAAACCTTGCGCGCCGGGTGTAGGAACGAACTTGTTGTCCATGAGGAAGCGTGATGACTTGTCGTGGCCGTACCAGCCCTTCAGTCCCTTGTAGTGGTCGTTGTTGCCGTGCTTCTCGTGGATGAAAGCACCTGCGATGGAACCGGCACCGGCATTCATGTACTTGTATGTGCACCAGCAGGCGAAGTCGACATCCCAGTCGTGGAGCTTCAGCTCAGCGTTGCCGGCAGCGTGCGCTAGATCCCATCCGATGGTGATGTTGTGCTTCCGTGCATGTGCGGTAATGGTCGGGATATCGAGTAGTTGGCCGCTGTAATATTGGATACCAGGTAGCATGATCAGCGCTAGCTCGTCCACGTTCTCGTCAATAAGTCTGAGGATGTTCTTTGTGGTCATGATGTGTCCGTCATCCGGTTCAACCAACAGCATCGACTTTTTGGGATCGAGACCATGCCATTCTATTTGCGATTCGATCGCATACCAGTCGCTAGGAAATGGTCGCCACTCGCACATAATCTTGTGCTTCTTCTCCGTAGGCTTGTAGAATGCAGCCATCATCAGATGCAAGTTGATAGTCAATGTGTTCATGGCAACGATTTCTGAAGGTGATGCGCCGACGATGTCAGCCATTCTCTTTGAGCATCCCGCAGCCATGTCTTGGTATGGGGTAAGTGGCGAGTCCTCGAGGGCGGTAAAATGGCCACCAACGGCGATGGATCCCCATGTCTTCAGGTATGCGTTCAGGTGCTCGCCAACGGCTTTTGGCTGTAGGCCTAATGAGTTACCGCAGAAGTAGATAGCCTCGTCATCGGGTGTTGATGCTGGGTTGGCGGTTTGTGCGTCATCTTTTAGGGTTTTCCGCTTGAGTTGCGCCTTGCTAGGAACAACAAATTCTGGTCGGAATGTTTTGGGGATCTCTGCGCTTTGGTCGAGAGAGTGCGCGAATTCTAATGATTCGGCATTTGCTGGCCACTGTGGCTTTTGGCCCTGGCGTAGCTGCTTGATTGCTGCGGCGGCGTCCATGGCGATGTATTGTTGGTAAGGGTATTTGTCTTGGAGAATGCCAACAGAGCTGTAATGTTATGTACGAATTCAAAAGTACAGTCAGGCAGACGACATCAGACTATATATGCATCTCGATCCGACGATTACGTCTCGAAGTAAGAGCCTTTGAGGCTTGCAGCAAACTAAGCTTGCACCTTCTCAATTGGGGTCGCGGACATTGTTCCGACATTGTTCCGACATCGCTTCCGTCGTTCCGGGTTCCGACAAGCATCCGAACGCGACCGTGATTGCGCGTGGACCTATCTGTTCAGCGTAATAAAGCAGGAGTTTGCCGCTTCGATGCAGGACGTATCCTTCCGGTATTCTTGTGCTACGATACTGTCGCTACCACTTCCGCAATGAGTCCTCATAAGATTCCTGCTCTCCCTTCGCCCGCCGCACTCCCCTATTACGGCATCTCAAAGAACGGCTTCTTGCCTGCCGAGGCACCATTGACTCGCTTACCGCATACCTACTATCAACCATGGGAAAAGATCATTGAGCAAATCCCGATACTCGTCGAGACACAACAAATACGGCAATGGGTTGACAAGTTGCCGGTTCTAGACACATCACATCTTTCTAGTGAGGCGGAATGGCAGAGAGCTCATTCAATGCTGGCCGTCATAGCTCAAGGTTACATATGGGCTGGTCCTGAGCCATCAGAGGTATGCCAGCATTAGCCCGGAATTGTTAAGACGTAAAGTACTAACAACAAACGTAGCGACTACCTCCAGCCATCAGTGTACCATTCCTGCGGACTGCTGAGTACCTTGAGGTGCATCCGGTGGCCACATACGCAGCTCTAAACTTATGGAATTGGACACCATTGAGCGAGAACGCCGACTTGACACAACCGGAAAACATGGTGGCGTTGCACACAGTGAGTGGTAGTGATGATGAATCGTGGTTCTTCATCATATCAAACGCCATGGAGGCAAGAGCTGGCCCACTCATCGAGGCCATGCTGGGTGCAGTCGAAGCAGTAGAGACCAATGATGTCACAACAATCATACACGCGCTGCAATATTTCCGACAGGGAATGCAAAGCATCGGCCAGCTGCTGGAACGTATGGATGAGCGATGTGACCCACAAATGTTTTATCACACCATTCGACCCTTCTTGGCTGGCAGCATGAACATGGCCACCGCCGGTCTGCCCAACGGTGTCTTCTATGACGAGGGCAATGGAAACGGCACATGGCGGGCATATCGGGGCGGATCCAACGGTCAGTCGTCATTGCTACAGTTTTTCGACGCAGTTCTTTCAGTCGACCATTCCCGGAGCGGCGGCTTTCACGCAGAAATGCGTGGCTACATGCCTGGACCCCACGCCCGCTTCCTTGACGACGTCGCCGCGATCGCAAACATCCGAAGCTATGTTAATAGTCATGGAGATAACGTTGAGCTCCTGACAGCATTCAACGAAGCAGTCGCAGCACTCAGCGGATTCCGCGACAAGCACATCGCTCTGGTGACCAGGTACATCATCATACCGAGTCGGATGGGAAAGCCAACGACTGGCCCTAAAAGAAGAGATCTCGCTTCCGCCTCGACCGAACTAGCTACCGGGAAGCCAAAAACGCAAGAATTGGTAGGGACAGGAGGTACTAAGTTGATACCATTCCTACGAACTTCGAGAGACGAGACGAGCGAAACGAAAGTCGTGCATTGAAAGGTGTTGGAAAAGACTTTTTTTTAGAAAGATACCCGTGATGCTAAGGCATCCCTTCAGAGCCTATGGGAAGAAGTCGCTACCTGTCTGTTGATCGTGGATGGGAAACAGGGGTATATCGGCAACAGATACGCCGTCAAGATTATGAGTGCCTGGTTGGAGGAAGTCTTGGAGACCTTGGTCGTTCTCGCTCGGCCATGGCATGGCAAAGAAGTCGGCATCGTATATAGTCCAATCGAGTGGCGCTGCGGAGGACACATGGCGCTGGATAGAATCTCGAGAAACCAAAGAACCAGGGCCAAGCTGCGCCTCGCATTCCTCCGTCTGAGGCTGAGGACCAGTAGGCTCAGAAGGCAGCAAACCAAACAGTTCAGACGAAGCTTGTTTCCGTTTCCGTCGCAAATGCAACTCTCTCTTCTTCGCATGTGCGGTGGTGATCTTGAGTAGCGATTGAGCGACCTGCGAATATTGTCGCGCATGAGGGTCGACTTGACCGAAGTGATCCATGCATATTATCGCATCCTTGCAGCTGTCCACTAACATGAGTCCTGAGTCACCAAGCACACCAACTGCAAGAACGAGTGTCGCAGTGAAAAGCCAAGACCTGATACTTGTTAGCTCTGGTTAATCCAGAGGAGGGTGTAGCTTACACTATCAGCGGCATCCTGCGAGGCAATTGGTTCGTACGAATGACAGCCAGTAGAGTATCGACTAGCGTTGAGGCTGCATCAAGTGCGGCATCCGCATACTTGCGCTTCTCTTGATGATCAGCTTGTGTGCCCCCACTCTTCAGTGGTGCGCCCATGTATTCGTATAACTCGTAAATGAGGAATGGTCGTGTGAGTAGCATTATGCCATAATAGTATGAGCAGAGTGTGGAGCAGGCGCCCACTACTGCTTCCCGAGAACGACGTCTAGCAGTGAGCCCGGATAGTTTATGCAGCCATTTGGATGCCCAGTTCTTCAATTGTCGCGAGACATAATCGGCAATACGTAAAGATATACGTTTGCGCGAGTACACTTCAACGACAACGCGTTCGATGATCATAAAAATCTGGACGCTTGCGTCCAGTACACTGACATCGTCGGCTTCCATACCGTCCTCCAAGGCATTGTACTTGACGGTGCAGTCAACATCGGAAGTAGACGGAGGTCGACCTAAGGCATTGCTAGAATACGAGCGGAGTGATTAGCGAAGACCACAAAGCAAGGTTATCAACCTCTGATGATATACCCAAGAGGTTGTCACCAGGATTGTAGTTTAGGCAGCGTACAGAGCTAAACTGTGATAGTAGACCATAATGGAACTGAATCTGCTTCTTACCTTATTAATTGATCAGTGACACGGATGCTCTTCCAGATGCGATCTCGTACCAACTTGATGGTCTCTCCAAAGGAAGCGTTTACTTCAGTTCGGTGTATGCCGATTGCATATGCGGCGCGCGCAGCCAAGGCTAGAAAATGTTAGCGATCCGCATGTTTCGTCCTCCCATTCGCATACATAAATACAGGTAAGCTCCGTTCGGCTGAGATGCTCGGAGCATAAACATCGCTACAAGCGCGAAACCCTGGACTGTAGAGACATTCATGCTACTGCACATATGCTTCAGAAGCAGATCCCGAGCTGTGTTGAACCAAGCTTCTGCCTTCTCTTCAAATCTTTCTTGTGCACCAATAGCAAGAACAAGATAAAAGACTGCAGCTGCGGCGTCGTCCGAGCTTGAGGTTCTGCTACTTGCCCAGGCTTTCAGTTCAGGAGCAAGATCCTCTTTCTGGAATAGCTGGACGAGACCACTACTTGCAGCAATGTATTCATTGACTAATGCGTCCACTTGATTTACATCGATTGGAGGACATGAATGTTGATCTGCTGATTCAGGACGCGCAATCTCGATGATGGGGTCGCGAGTGGCTTGGACAGTGGCTCTTGGGTCAACCTCAGAAGTGATGAGGTGCCTAACTGTCTGTAGAAAAGACAGCGGAGCGCAATCACCAATAAAGATTGACTTCCCTTGCGCGTCACGAAGGATGCGGCCTTCAAGAGGCACTACTGTGTCTCCCTGCTGGTCGTCTCTACTTAGTGTTGGGGAGAGTGATGTTCCAACGTCAGCAACTTCACGATCGTTCCTCTCCCGCAGAACATTGTCCTGTTCGTCGCGGTCACGGTCATTCGGTGTATGGCCTGCGGAACGAGCGTAAGGGCGGTGGATATCGTCGGAACGGGCACCGTGAGTAGGAGTGTGTCCGGCGGAACGTGTGGAAGGACGGGCATTATGACCACTAAACGTGCAAGTAGCCGCACGATCCTTTCGCGTACAGTAAGCGCATGGTTGTTCGCCGTTACATTTGACCTTTCTCTTCTTGCAAAGATCGCAGGCCGCAGCGACACGCTCGAGTCGACGCCGTTTCTCCGGACGCGTCGGCAGTTGATCCAATGGTGTGGACATGTCGATGATCAATGTAATGTACCCTAAAAGTACTTGCAGCTTTTTGTTCTCCTAACATGTAAGTATGAGCCAGAGCGCGCTGCAGCGCAGAATGACGGGACTCGTTGGACCGTTTGACGGATGTTGTTCCGACGAGACTGTCGGACGGGAAATCTCGGCTGATAGCGGGCTTGGCATATTGTCTTTAGGTCGCCGGGGTGCGGGCGTCATCGCGCGCTCTTTCCGCGTGTGGCTGGCAGCATCATCATCACTAGACGCGTCCATCATCCGCTGGTCAGGTGTAGAATCTACCAACCATATGATCAGGTTGCGCATATGCAATATGGCAGTGGAAGCTTGGGTGACGGCATGCGAATACTGTATAGAATCAAAACATGCGATGTGAAGCTACGGGACCTTATCGTTGTGCCGCTCGCCTTCGGCCACATGCTGCACGACTCACTACAAGCCTCTTGCCTCAAGGACCCCTTCCTCATGTCCAATGTCCATGGTCCATACCAGCGCACTCAACAACTCTCCCTCGACAACCCCATAAACCTCTCTCAGGCCTCTCGGCTCGAATCCCAACCTTATCAACGCATTTTTACTCGCTTCGTTGTCTGGTCTACAAAAAGCACAGAATTCCTTTTGTCCTTTCTCTTCCCTGAAGTAGTTCAGCAGCGCTGTTGCAGCTTCAGTAGCGTAACCGTTTCCAAAATATCGAGATAGTAAACCGAAGCCTACATCTGGGATTGTTGGTGCTGCAGGGGCGGACGGGAATCGCGCATGTTGCATCGATACAACGCCGATTGGCACCAACCGTCTTTCCGAAAAAGGCAAGGTGCTTTTTTCAAGTGCTGATATGTCCGAGGTCGAGGTTGGCTTCAGAGAGATGAGGTAGCGACCATAGCCTGTATTCTCCATTCTGTCTACACAGTCCGCGATGAACTTCCTCCCAGCGTCGCGAGGAGGAGTGCTCATTGCCTTCTCCACGGCGGCTGCAGGCATCTCTTTAGTGATGCCTGGACTGAGCATCAGGCCGTGTATGAAGTCGCAATGCGCATCGTTGGTAGGTAAAAGGTGGGATACGAACAGACGGGGTGTCGTGAGATGGAAGTCATGGTCAAGCATTTCGAACGAGGCTGAAGAGGCTTAGTCGTTGGCCGAGCTGAGCTTCTTATGTCTCCGTCTTGACGCACTGGGTGATGGCTGCCTAGAGATATGGCAAATGACTCAGATCGCTCGGGTTTAGCCTGGGGAACGCCCGAAAGCAAGAAGCTTGACCCATCAGTACCTTCGCTTGATTACCTGATTGAGGAAAGGCGTCGGCATCGTGTTCTCAGTCGCAGTCAGTGTCGGCATGTAAAGATTGAAGATCCGTATGCTCGGCGGTTTCCTGTTAAGCTGAGCGCCTTCCACGATCTTGCCACTTCTGTAGCTATAACAGCGGGAAAGGTCCAAACAACTGTCGGCGGCATCGTCCGTATGATAGTGAAATGGAGAGCTTTAGTTATTGTGTTACTCGTGTGTAGATGCAATTGTATTCAACTAACTACCACCAAGACGATGTCCAGGAGTTTAATCAACTTATCGTGCCGTTTGCGTCGCGGTCGCGGCCGTCCGCCAGTATGCATGGCCTTCCATGGCTGGTGTAGTCGTCGCAGGCACGTCGTCGTGACACCTGCCAAACCAGCCTTTCGAGGTACATGTAGTCGTTGGCTCACTAGACGTAGTAGTAGTTGTGCTAGTTGTGCTAGCTGTCGTTTTGTCTTTGCAACCAAACCATCCGGGCTTTAGAAGTTAGCGAAGTGTGCGCAGTCATGGAATTTATGAACTCACAGTTTGACAGGTACTTGTACTAGTACTTGTTGCGGTACTTGATGGGCTGGATGAAGTGGTCGATACCATCGTGGTGGTCTCATCACGGCATCCCCACCACCCAGGTGTCTTACACGTCTCAGTCCGCGTCCTTGAGGATGTAGTACTTGTTGCAGTCGTGGAGCTTGTCGTCGCTGTGGTGTGGGTGCCGTTCTCGAACTTCCACAGATAACAATCGACGCACCCAACGTCCTCTTCTTGACATATTGCTGCCTCGTCGTATTTCATGTACACGTTGTCGATGGCGTACCTGAGACTATGGGTTTGCGTGTTCTGTCTCCATCCCCAATCCTTCACCACATCATATGCACATCTTTTCCCGGTATGGCAGAGTGTTTCGAAAGCATATCCGCCGATTGAGCAAAAGCTCGTCGCGCCGTTGCAGGTGCCCATATATACAGGATCAGCGGTATGTCCGAAGTGAAAGCCGCCTGTATTCTTCCTAAGTGGAGCGACATCGCCGGCAGCTGGCAAACCCAAGCGCTTAGCTGCTAAGGCTTGCGGGTAGGCCTCGAATGTCACCGCAGGAATACCGTGCTGCAAGCCAATCAAAGAAGCCAGGACACCTCCCAAACTGTGTCCCGTCGTCATAATGTTCGCATCCGGGTAGAGTTTGAGGACCTCCTGATACAGCTCGACAGTCGCAGCATAGTATCTATTCGGCTTTCGTAACTCGTCTTTGACACATTGCTCGTCACAGCTGTAGGTACCAGTTTGACAGTCGCACACTTTGCGCCAAAGATATGTCCCACCTTGGCCGCAACAGCAAGAACCGTACAAGTTGTCGTTTTCTTTGTCGTGAACGGAGGTTCCATCGCCTTCAAACATAGCTACAGTCGTTCCCTTCACCGCCAGAATGATGGTGGAATTGGTATCATCGCTAAACACGTGACCTCGGATGCCACTGTCATCCCAACCAAAAGGAACTGATGAATTGTAACGTCCGTCAACGTCCATCCATCCAGCGTCATCACGACCGACCTTGTAAGCATCCTCGGACATGTTCGCGAAACTGATTACCGTGTTCTTGTCCGTAACATCCGGACCCGGTACATCTTCGGCGATCCACATGGACGACATGGGGATCTGTGCATCGTAGCCACGCAATGCAGGTCGTTCTATCTTCACCGGTGCTGTCTTGATAGCGAAGGGTCCGATGTGAGTATCAAGACCAGCTACGGCAAATCGCTCTGGTGTCACATCGAATCTGCGTGCTCGTGGTCCAGACTGGCCAGCGCCATGATCTATAAGGTGGCGCAAAGTGAAGCCGTTTGGTCTTGTTGCTGTCTTCACTGCTGCTTCCGCTAACGTGGTCGGCTCACGGGAGTTGCCATAGCTCGTATATGTCCAGAAGATAACGGCAAGCAACGCGACCTGCGCGAGGATGCCAAAGGCGAATAGAGTGTTGGAAGGCCTGCTCCGATGATTAAGAGTCGAGTTGTTTGATGGCATGATGTGTGGACATTGTAGAGGAGGCGAGGGATGGGACTGTTATGATAAGCGCGTCGATGGTTGAGTCGCCGCCTTGCGCACGGCCCGCCCTGGCTCGTGATAGGAGCTACGACCAAACCCGGTTAGCATATTTTATGCTACGTCACGCGCCTCCATCCACGCGCACCTCTCATCCGGCACGAACTGAGCCTCACGAATCGCGAACGAAGTCACCAGGTATTGGAACAACGTGTCATCGACGCGTCATATCTACACTCATCGAATGCACCCATTGTCGAAGAGATCTTAAGGAACTACAAGTCTCCCAGGCACCCTGAGCGATCGATGCATAGCAGGATATAAGCACGGTGCAATTGTCGGTGTCGAGTCATCCAAGCTCATGGTGGTGCGCTTTGAGCAGCATAGATTAATGCCAATAGGCTACTGGAGTGACCTGTAATAGCAGCGCACATGTGTCGAGTTTAGACGCGAGCGTTGAGCTCACCCCAAATGCAAGGCGTTGAGCCCTGGTTTCTATGTTGAAACAACATCCCAGATGTTGAAGCCTCATCCATCAATCCATTCGCACAATCATCGCTCATGGCTCTTTTCGATACTCTTCTTCAACTCTTTGATGGCTGCCGGTCCTGCATTCGACAAACTGATCGCCGCAGCCATCGCTCCACAAGCTACAGTAACGATATGACTTGTCTTACAACCATCTAGATATCCACCCAACACCTGCTCCAGCTCGTGACCTGAGAAAGAAGCGCGTATCTGCGTCGCGCCGGCATCTAATACCACTTTCGCATCGACTTGTGGCAAATTACGGGCAAGACTTGAAAGGAGTCCGTTCGTGAATGCTGCTTCACCCGATGCGACAAATAGAACAGTACCACAATTCTCCATGAACAGCGACATAGATGTTGCTGCTCCCAGGTCTTCAGCGGGAACCAGGGCTTGGTTCGCGATCATCGGGATTTGAAGAGCGAGGCCAACTCCCATGGCTGTCAAGAGTTCGAAGCCAACCCAGTCTTTGATTGGTGTACTGGCGTCCAGGGAGTGTATCTTCGTATTGCCAACCACAGCAAAGAGTGCGCCGAGTAAGAAGAAGGGCTTGTAATGGCGCCAAAATGTGAGCAGTCCATTCGATATCATGGTGAAGACCGAGACGCCCATGACAAGCGGGATGAGCCGGATACCGCTTTGCGAAGCCGTGTTGTTGTCGACAGCTTGAAACTGAATGGGTAGCGTATACATAAGTGGGAAGAAGGCGCCAGCAAGGAACATAGCATAGAACAAATTGGCTGAAACCAATTTGTTCTTGAACAAGTGGAATTGTACCATAGAACGGCTGCCCATAACATACTCGTTGACGACAAAGCAGATGAAGAGACTTGCGAAGCCCACAAGACTGCCAACAACACGAGCACTCGTCCAAGGCATGATGCCTATCCAGTGCATGGCCAGAATGAAGCACGAGAAACACCCGGAAAGTAACACTGCGCCGTTAAGATCCAGATTCAATACTTTCTCGCGGAGAGGTACGTCTTTGGGCTTTTCGGGGTTCTTGAAGCAAAGAAACATCGTGAGCGCTGCAGCGAAACCGATCGGTAGACTGATCCTGGGCAGAGTCAGCGCTATGTTATACACAAGGAGGTTCCTATGGCTCTTGCGATATGCACACAGTATTCGATCGAGTGCCTCTCGTGGTGGCAAACCGTATTTCTGAACATATGATGCTAGGTTGACTTACCAGAAGCAATACCTCCATCCGGGGCCATCTGTCAAAGCACCACCCATCAACGGCCCTACGACGCTCGCACATCCAAACGTCACACCCAGCACACCCATATACGCTGATCTGTACTCCGGCCCAGCAGTGATTGCGATGATGATGAAAGCGCCTGTCATCACCCCACCACCGCCCATGCCAGCCACGATCCTTCCAAAGATCAATACCTCACTCGATGGTGCAGTTGCGCATATTACATTACCAATCTCGAATACTGCAATCGCACACATGAATGTGGCTCTGAGGTTAAAGCACTGGTAAGCTTTGCCCCACGCGGATTGGAACGCAGTGTTGGTGATGGAGTATGACGAGCCATACCAGGCTATATTGCTGATACTACCGAATTGGGTGGTGATACTCGGAATTGCTGTAGCGATGATTGTCGAGTCTAAAGCCGCGAGGAAGATGGAAAGGATAAGGCCGACTGTGATCAGAACCAAGCGGATACCACGAGGGTATTGAGGAAGCGGTACAGTGGTATCAGATATCGCTGCAGCCGTTGGCGCTTCCACAGCTCCAAGATTGGCGAGCTCGATTGGGTCTCCGCTCGTCATGCCGTACTTTGTGAATGTTCTGTCGAAGAGTTGGAGCCTGAAAACAAACCAAGACGACTAGAGTCATATCAGTTTATAGATGCCCGTAGGGTCTAGTGTCCGCGCTAGCAGCCAGTTCAGGTTAAACACCGGCATAAAAGCTTGCCTCGGTAGAGGCTTACTCCGATGGTCGACTCCGAGTTATCGTTTCCTTCACGCCTACAAGCATAAACGTGGTGATGCAATGAGCATCGAAATTTGACCTACAGACATACAAGAGCGCAGTTGCTGCAAGTCTCACCTAGCAATTTGAGTAGATGCGGGCTTGTGTTGGTTACGAGCAGAAATACGAATCAGTTCATTTCATAAGGTTGCACCCTGAAGATATACATGTTCAATTAAGTTACAAAGTATTTAGAGTTAGAATAAACAGAGTTTGAAGGGGTAACAGTGTATACCCACAAAGCAGACTTTAGCACTTGGGGTAAAACCTAGAAAAGATGAACTCCTTCGTATACGTGCCAGTTTCAGACATAACTCCAACACTTCGACCCGATACGTTTAAGACAACACCGCTCTGAGGGTCTAAAGGCTTACGTCGCTGTGCCATGCATTTCAAAGGTAACAGAACTGCAAAAACACCTAAGCACCAATTGTTATAGCGGATATGCTTTGCGATTTCGTGACTAACAGTATGGATGATCGAGGGAAAACAACATGTGATTTGGCGGACTTCGCAAATCCCCATCGCGTGAATTCGGTGAGTAACCTGATAAGCAGATATGATCGTTAGTGATGTGAAGGTATGGTCTCCGATGTACCATTAACGGATACCCCAGATCATCGCAACTAGACGTCGTAGAAGACATCGGTGATATCCGTGAGGCCTGGGTGCTTTCAAGGGTATTATCGCAATATTTGTGCGTCATCCACGGTCTTTGTTCGACCAGTCGTGCGCATACTAAGCGCTTGCCTGGGTAGCATCGTTGGCTGACGAGTAACCGTAAACTAACTGCCACAGAAAGTCCTGGGTGGTGTTGTTGATGAGTGCTGAAGGCGCGGTGAGGTTTGGTGGGGAAATTCAGGCTGTCGGCCCGCGGCGCGTCATTGTTTCCAGCGCGTTTCGCGTTCAGCCTTCCTGCCCGTCCACTCTGAACCGGCACACTCACACTTTGACACCTTGACGCCGCTTCTTTCCCCGAATCGTCAGCGTACGCACCAGATTGATGACGAACATCATGGTTATGACTCCCAGTATCGCTACAATGCATGCTAGTGGTGCCAGGATGGAGAATATGGAGAAGACATATGACGCCATGCCGAAGGAGTAATCGTTTGCAAGGGGCTCCGTCGCAAGCCCGACCTGCATCGCAGAAAGCACAATGGTAGTGTATGCGAACAGTGTAATGAGACTGTTGACGTTGTCACGCATGAAAGCCCCATACGTCGTGCAGCCGCTAAGGTACCCGCGAAACTCGCCCATGGTCAGGCGGTATATCCAGTTCAGCCGCCCGAGGCGCAACTCCCCGTAGTTGAAGCGCTGGTTCACGACCGGACGCGCTTCAAGCGAATCTACAGACGATGTAGTCGACGCGTCGATCGTGTGCACCTGTACAGAGGCGCGAAGGACCTCGTCAACGAGGGTCAGCCACGCAGACCAAGTAATTTCCTTGGGAATGAGACCATGGTAGATGGCCAAGTTGTAGTCGACTTCTCTTTCGATGAGCGCGACATACGACAGTAAAAATCCCAGTGCAGTCTCGTACAGGTGCCGACGTGGGCAAATCTGCTCAGTCCAGAAGTCTGGGCAAAAGAGGAAGCGAGGCAGTGGTTTGAGAAGAATCAGCGACGAAGGCGCCGACGACCAAACAAGGTGCAGGTCCAACTGCTCCGTCACAATAATCTCTCTTTTTTTCACCACTTGATAATGAAGAGGCCGCGGCGCGGTTGGCAGACCCACCAGCCAGAGCCATTCGTGAACCTCGTTCAAACGGCGGACATTCAGCTCGACATCCAGAAATGCACCGATGTTGTTGTCGATGCGCTCGATCTTGTAGTTCCTCCGGAACGTCGCTGGCAATAATGGAACTTTCGACTTTGACCCACCATCCAAGCTTTCAGTCCTTAGCGGCGCCGTCCGGAAAGGCACTGGGTACTTGATGGACTGCTATACGAAATTAGTGTGTTAACGGAGACCCTTAAGGTTGCTACTGACCTCGATGGAGTCAATCATCATGAAAACGACATCTAAGTCGTGGAGAAGGACTGCGATGGCGAGATGAAGACCTGCGTTGGTCGCCTAAGCGGATTCGCGAGCCTCAGCCCCGGTCCCGCCCCATTGCCAATAGCCCCGAGCGCTCGATAATGTGCCACCAATACGGTTGTGACCAGGGGGCTGTACGCCTGGCTGACACATCCGCTCCATGTTTCTGTTTTCGGTAATTTTGGCCCCCAATATATTCGGCCCCCAAAGGCGCGAGCGAAGCCCGGATGCAGGGGTAAAGCCATGCGCGGGAGCGCAACGTTCTACAGACCGACCCTGAAAGTATTCCTTTGGCAATGGTTCAGACGTACCCGATAGCCACCAACTTTCAGTTTGCAGCGCAGTTCTGCTGCAACACCACAATTCGCGATGGCTTCGGCCACGAAGGTCCAACATTCGAAGTTCGACGCGCAGGTCAGTGTCATGCTCA